GTTTATTTTTGCTATTAATAAATACTAAAATATCGTGAATTAAACACCAAAAAGTGGTAAGATTAATATTACTTAATGAGTAGGGTCCTGTTCAAAGCCCTTATATACATGAGCTTTATTCTTATTCATTTTTACTTCAAAATTATGCTTGGCTATTGATTCACCGTAATTTAATATGAATATGCTGCTGTTACTTAATGATGCAAACGACCTAGACCTCGTTAAAGTGCCAAATATTATGTAGGTTGAGCGTACAGCTGAGGTCCCTTGAAGCCCGAGTTGCAGAGGAACGCAGAGAACTGCGTAGGGCAATCGAGGATACGATAGCTGACAAAGAGACTATAAAACGTGCAGCCAGAGCCCAAAAAACGAGAGCTGAACGACTTATGGAAGAATTACAGAGGACTACTAGTCGCCTTGCTGACGCAGAAGCTCGCTCTGCTCAGATTCAGGTACTCTATCTCTGCTTCATATTTATTCTCAATTTCTTATATTTTACTCTATTTTAATTTTTCTTCAAGTATATATTTTGCATTGTGCTTCTAGTTCCAAGATATCCACATCTAGTGCATTTTTTACTAGCTATGTCTTAAGTTTTCTAAGCCTTCAGTGAAAAATAGAATTATTTCTACAAACTCTAAATTATACCTTAAGTAATTTTAAACATTTTGATTTTAAATGAAAAAACGCACACATTAACAAAGAACGAACTAGAAGAGGAAAGGCGTCATGTATCTCGACTGACGTCTGATCGCGCCAGTGAGGCAGCCAACGTTGATGAACTGCGGTGTCAGCTTATTGAAATGGAGCGACGATCCCATGCCACAGAGCGTGCTATTCAAGGAAAAATTGCTCTGACTCATGCCGGCAATTCAGACTCAAGCAATGTTAACAAATATGGATCGGAAGAGTTCAATAAACTCAAACAAGTGAGTGGATGGATGTCTTTTATAAGAAATCTGGAAGGTTTCTGATGTTTGAGCCACTCTAATACGCATACATAGGCAATAAAATAGCTGCCTAATCAGTCAGCCATTTTAGACACGAAAAAAACTGGGTTTCGATGAAACTCCTAAGATAACTTTGTTGGCGGGACTTTCATTTCATATCAGTGCATGAAAAAGAGATTCGTTGGTCGATCTCACCAGATAAGAACGGATAAATCTCGTTGTGCTGCAGCCGTTTTGCTTTTATACGATGTATATGTTGACGCAGTCCACCAGATTTCCTCTCTCGTTTTGGGTAAAGTGGTCTAAGTTTTTGTCCACCATATAGTGGATATCATTTACCTAGAGTTCCTGATAAATATAATTGAACTTTGTGCGTAGATCAATAAGGGACATGGTACTTATTAGCTATCGCTGTGGCTAATCAGCAAATTAGGTTTAGTATACGTTATCATAAAAGTTTGCCTGGTTCACTTTTACTCGGTCACTGTCATCGTATCTGTATCACTCTAGACGTTATTTCCCATGATATGTCTTAATTATTTGATAAAATACTTAACACTTGTTCCTTTTTCTTTGTATTCTCACCCTATGCAGCCAGTCCTGTTACCTTACAGTCGATCTCGTGTAAGGTATTGTATTCCCCTTCATAATCACCTGGATATTCCTTTTTCTTACTACTCATCGCACTTTTTGACGCAA